TAAAGGGCACTATAGGACGGCCAGAGCAGGTTTAAAGCAGTCAGAGCCGGTCTGAGCCGGCCACTTCAAGACAGACTCCTGGGCACTTCCCCCCACCTGGGGCCAGTAGTTATCTGGTACCTGCCTAGTCTGCTTTGTGACCACTCTGCTGAGCACGCCAGGCTGGCACAGCGCTTCCAGCACGTGGTGGGGAGCCTGCGTTTTCCCCTCACTGGTCTCCCACAGTCTCTGAGCAGAACTCACTTCTGATCTTTGTAGGTAGGGATGGGGGGTTGTGGGATTCAGGGATTGAATCTGTAAGATGACGCGAACCTGGAGTTACTCGGGTGAGGGTGACCAGCACTCACAGGAGTCTTCATCGGAGCGAATCCCTCCCCGACTGGCTGAGTCTCAGGAGCAAGGGGTGGCCGTGCGCTGCCGTGCGAGCGCGCTCACTGAGGCGGGTTGTCTCGCATCCACAGAATGCGTTTAAGTCTGTCTGGGTAGCCACTTGTCACCATGGCTGCAGAACCACCAGTCTGCTCCTAGAAGAGTGAAAGACTGTGTTCTTACCAACATGTCCTTTATGATTTCTTGTATTTGTTCCTCTACTCCGCGATGAGGAATCGTGATGGCTAACACACACAGTCCTCCTCATGTGCCAGGCTAAGCGCTACCTACAATTAACCCGCTCGATCTTCACACACCCTAAAAGTAGGTACCATCTTATAGGTGAGAACACTGAGGTACAAGAAGTTTAAAAATACACAGCCAAGAAGAAGCAGAGCTGCCATTCAAACCCAGGAAATCCACTCCTGGGCTCTGTTCTGCCTCTTTTAGCTCTTTATTTTTAATTGTGGATACGTATGTTATACGTATGTAGAGTGCATGTGATATTTTGATACAGGCATACAATGTGTCATGATCAAATCGGGGTAGGTGGCGTATCCACGACCGCAAGCGTTTATCATCTTTGTGTTGGGAACATCCCAGCTACTCTTTCAGTCATTTTGAAACATACAGTAAATTTTCACAACAGTCGCCCTGTTGTGCCACCAAACACTAGATCTTGTCTGGAGCCCATTCTCTTAACCTCTCTGTTACCTTTCTACCACACAAAAACTGCCAAGTGCCACTCACTGTAGTACATGTAAATCCTTAATTCAAACATTTTTCAAACCTGCAAAACTGTTTAGGCTTGTTCTCCGTCAGAGCACATAAGATGGAGATTGGTCCACCTCCCTCCACATCCCCTGGTGATGATGAAAAGTTTGTCAGGTGCAGGAGAAATGTCAGCCCTGCAGTTAATTTGTGCTTATACTATTGTCACGATCATCCTGTTTTCTTTGCAGGAACAGTTGCGTGGTCTGGGAGAGTTAGTTTGTACAATGCTCAGACGTTGGACCAGCATGGCCTGGTTTGTGAGGTGCAGTGGGAGGGAGCCAAAGTCCTTCCACGTTAGAGAAGCCTCCCTCTCCCTTCAGAGTAGCTTTTCTCTCACCTGGGATGTGTGACTGTCTGACATGCAGATGGGGCGGGACAGCCACCATGAATGCCCGCGCTAAACACTAATAAAGCATTACTATTCTCATCTTTTTAAAGATATATCACCTTACATCTAGCTAAAACCATGCATTTCTCCTGTGTCCAGTGGATTATCTTAAGCACTGCGCATCCACCCCACCCCCAACAGCTACATTATCCCCTTTGTAAAACCACAGCCTCAAAGGGAAAGTCAAAGAAGCCACGTTTTTCAAAATTTTTGTTTAGAGATAGTCCTGCTACGTTGCCCAGGCTGGTCTCGAGACCCTCCTGCCTCAGCCTCCCGAGTCGCTGGGACCGCAGGTTTGCGCCACCGCACCCGGCTTTGCGGTTTTGACGCAGCCCTGTGTTCGCAGCCTGGCTTTTCTACGAAATGATTTCTGTGACACTAGACAAATGTCCACCTCCATGGGCTTCTGATTGCTTATCTGCAAAACAGGAAAAGTCACACCCACCTCACAGGTCAGCACGAAGCGGAGGTGGATTCCTGTAAGTAGCTCCCAA